CTCTGAAGATGACTTCCGCTCAGGTTGTCGAAACGTCAGTCACCAACAACAGTTCTTTTCAGAACTACACTCACCCGGACGATCACACTATAGGAACTATCAATAAGCTTCGTTGCCACATATATCAGTCCACATATATTAGTCCACATATATCGCTCCGAGCTGTTTAAGTAATTGACTGTGGTAATTGTGGCGGTATTAAGCTGGAAGTAATTAAAGAGAGCCTTTTCAGTAGTCTCGAGACTTCTTACTGGTATTCCAGCCAATTGGTTAGCCTCTCAGCTAATGTCAGAATAACGTATATTTGCAATATTGTTTAGTTTGATTAATTTCTTCAATAAGAAGAGTTGTACTGAATACACTAAATATATGCTCTGTAGTATTTGTAATGTATAATTATGTGAAAAATTTATTTTTGGGGGGAACTTTTCTCGTCGTTTTTTTTGTTATTTTTGTTTTATCGTTGTCTTTCCCCATGTAGCATGACGTTAACATTTTACCCATTATGTTTATTATAATATCTTTCGAATTATCGATTGAAAGCGTCTGGCTCCGAAACAATCAAATGGGAACACCATTATAGTTTCATTTGCACAACATAGTTTTGGAAATACAGAGGGAATTTCCTTTCCCCGAGTGACATGGAGTAAACAGATAAAACATAAAAACTTACCTTCGCATTGCTTTCCATAGAATCCAAGCCTGCAGTCACACTTGTATCCAGATGGCTCATCTCTGCATGTTCCCCCATTCAGACAGTAGACAGAATTACACTCGCTGATCACTAATTTAATACAAAAGGAAAAGAAAAAAAAATCGGTAACTCTGAACAAGAAAAGTACATCCAAAAATGCTCCTTTAAAATTATGCTATCAATGGGACTGGGCAATATCGCGAAATAATTGGCAAGTGCAGGTGTACCACGTTACTTTTTTTGAGCAATCATTTTTCTTTTTGGCTGACGGGATAATAGATCAGCTCAAATGAATGTTGGAATTGTAACTAAGCTCTGAGGCTTGAAGAACCAAAACAATAGGCATAATTTATTGGTCCCTCCACCTCAAGGTGACCTCTTGTTTTATTTCCCGAAACTTCGGAGTCAAGTTAAAATTCAACGTATCCAGCTTTGCCTATTGTAAATCAATACTGACCTTCACAGGTTTTTCCTTTAAAACCTTGTGGACAGTTGCAGACGTAATCATTGTTTTCCTCGAAGCAAACTCCTCCGTTCTTGCAAGGGTTTGGTGAACACTTATTAGCGACTATGGAGAAAGTATAATCTCAATATACAACTATTCCTACTTACAATAACAGGTCGCATGTCTAGAAATTATCACTTGAAATTCTATACCTGATAATTGAACCTAAAGGAATTTTGAGAAAATTTTAATTAATTTAAAATTTTTAGCCTCCTTCCTTTTTTCAGCATCTTGTTCTTCTTCCTTTTTTCAATTTACTTTTGAACGGTTTTTTTCCTCTACGCTTTCATTTATGGTTTCATACTCCTCATAAATTCTAGTCCATAAAAGTAGTATTTACATACAGAGGGAGCCAATACTTACTTCCACAGTTCTTTCCTTTGTATCCCTGTTCACATATGCACGTATATGATTCATCAGTCTGGCTGCATGTACCATCATTACGACAGGGATTTGGATGGCAAGGGCTTCGCGCTACATACACAAAATACAACAATTAAAAGAACCTAAAGATTGAATTGATTGCTACACGCTTTGAAAATAAAATAAAACTTTTGTTTATTTACATTTACACATAAAATAAACGAAACCAAAAGTACCTTTCTCAATTGCGTAACGGGCACCTATTCATAGTCATCAGCCTTAGGATTTCAATTTTTTTAGTGGACAACTTTTGTGCTTCTGAGGTACTTTTGACGCTGTTGCCCACAGTATTCAATATTGACCATATCGGACCATTTGATCGTATGCCAAGGCCAATAATGGGAATAATGGTAGTTTTATTCATCAACACAAATATCAACTCCAATGATTCCCTGCAGGCCTTTCACATAGAAGGAATTGCCCACTGCTATTAGAGTTTGATTCGCTTTTCTTCATACGTCTTTGTAGCGACGTCTCACATTAAAACCGAACAAAAGGCAATTATTGAGAGTGTTAGCTTGTGCAACGAATAAATTGAAACTGGTATTATTCTAACCTAGCAAAACTACCTTGCGAGCACTCCATAAATCTCGTGACATAATTCCAAAAAATCTCGACCGAGGTAGGTCAGTTCTAAAGCCCCAATCGACCGGAAGAGTGTCAATCGTCACCCACCTTCACAGTCATCTCCAAGGAATCCAACAGGGCAAGTACAAAGATGTCTTCCAACGGCTATTTCAGTACATGTCCCGCCGTTCTTACATGTTTCAGGTCTGCACTCTTTCTTAACTATGCAATGAAATAGAAAACCAACTGTGATACACTCGCTGGATATCCAATTTTGAGGTGCTCTAAGTTTTTTACTTGCAAGAAACTAAATCAGCAAATCTCTGGGTTAAATCCTTTTTTTTCTGTCTTCCGTTTTGTCACCAAAATATGACAATGATAGAAGGCTAATTGTTAGTTTGCCTGGACCAAATGAAGACTGCCCAAAACATTTGTTCAAATCGTAGGTACAAATTGTAAGTAAGTTGTTAGTAATGAAAGTACACTTAAAATCTTTGAAAATAATGCCAATGCAATATCATCTCATATACACTGTACAGACATGCAGAGTCCGTTAATAGAGGGTTTTGTTGGGGTTATACTGAAGGCTGATAATTGTCCAAAATTTTAGCTGGCAACTGAAAAATGACGCATGGTTGAATTGATGGCTGAGACAAATCGACTGATAGCCGATAAGAAAAGGGCTTAAGATCTTAACTTATAACTCTTATTCCCAAGCACCGTCATCAAGAGGGCATACAGGAAACAAAGGCACTGTCTGCAAAAACATTGAGTATTCAATAATTCAGTAGAGGGTTAATAAATTTATTCTTCGTGCTTCAGAATCACTTACCTTCACATCTCGTCCCAATGAAACCAGGTAGGCATTCGCAGTAAAAACCATGGTGTCGTGGAATGCACATCCCTCCATGGTGACACGCATGGAAGAAACATGGCCCTGCGAAAGTTATAGATGGATAACGGTTAAATAACTTTATATCGAGATAAAGAGCTCCAACAAACGCTCCAAAAATCCCCATGTTTTAAACTTGAGACAGAAGTTGTTTTCCCGCACCTACTGCTGGAAAGATTTATTAGCTCATGATAAATTTTCTTTTCTCGACGGATTTCTAACTATTGTAGAGACGACTTTCATAATGTCCCTCTCCTAGAGGGCGACAGATTAGGGAAATCGTGATAAATACGAAATCAGGCGTCAACTTTAACATTTGCAGCTTATTTTATTTTTAAGATACTATGAAGTAATACAACAGCTGAGTTCAAGCATAACCTCTTCTCAAGAGCAATAATATTGCATTTGCCTGTATACCGGTTTGTTGAGTTAAAATTGTAACTGTGAAACGGCTTTTCGCATCTTAACCAGAAAACATATTATGTTCATAAAAAGGAAGTAATTTATCTCACTTTTATATATGTCAACTAAATTACATAATAGACAACTGTCTGATCCAATTACAAGTAGCTAAATTGGCAATTAAAAAAGTTAATGCTTTCAAGCCAAACTTTTCAGCCAGGAATTTTTACGATATTTAAAATGATAATTGATAAAAACACACTACCAATATAATTTGTTGATATTTTCAAACGTTACTGAGCCTTTCAACTAAAAGATAAAATAACTGCAACACAAAGGTCACAGTACAGGCTAGTACCTCTTTCTCCTCGGTGAACCAGAAACATTCTTCGGTCAACGGGACTTGTCATTCGGTCGTATGGAGAAGCGGCCGCAAAAAAGTAATCCCTCTTGCTAACGTCAGGTTTATTTTGACCAAACACCTCATCGCTTTGTTTCCTGAACCTCTTCTTAAAAGCTCTTACTTTGCTTTTACGTAAATGTTTCCCGCCCAGCGACCGTGATTGTTCATTTAAATGGCTGTCCACCCGGACGTCTGGCAAAATGCTTTGTTTATATTCCAAACTTCGTCGAAATGATGCTCGTGTTATGACTGTTGTAGTCTTAACAAAAGTTAAATGCGATAGTATTACCAAACAATCAATCAGTGCCACAGTCAGCCAAGAACCCCGCATAATGTAGACCCCCTTTTTCACATTTCAGTTTCGCTCGACCTTATGTCCTGCTAAAAAATAGCTTTTCATTTCTTCAACTGAACGAGTTATTGGAAGAATAATTACTAATCGAGATCGATGTGCAAGTTATTAAAGATTTACGACTTCCGCCGCAGTTCATTGTTACGAGTTGCACTGTCAAATTGACCGTAAAAGAACAACCTGTCCCAACAAGAGCCATTTTGTGTCACCATTTTATCTGTTAATAGCTCCTCACCTCTTAAACTTACCTTGGCAGGTGAAAATTATAAAGCTGCAAGATCCAGATTATAATTCTTCTTACTTTTTTTGATGCATTTTCTAAAGTTCACTACTGGAGAATTTTTCCGTTGGCGAGACTCTCCCTTAATTGAACGATCAGGAATCAAATTATTCACCTGCTAAAGTAAACGAACCGTTCCCGATGCGACTGTCTGTTTTTACTTTCTAAACGAGCAATCGAGCGATCTTCCTTTGCTTGGATATTACCATTCCAAATTCGCCTTGACGACGGATAAAATTAAGTACTTTAGATCTCTCGTCGAGTTCAGTGGAGCAAAAGTTGTCCTTGACTTAAACTGCAGAGGGGTAGCTGTCGCATGTGAACAGCATGTGGCCAATTGATTATAGAGTCTTCGTAGTTAACCTTCATCTAGAGACTAAATAGTTGTTTTCCTGAATGAGAAAGAACCAAATAACAATGAAATAGTTGATTTATTGTGTCTTAATAGGTTATTAGTTTTGGATTATTTGGACAATTAGTCCTCTGAAACTAAACTGTAACAAAACAATTAATGATGGCGCAAAACAATAAGGCAAAAAATCGAGATAACTCTCGTTGTACAGTAGTTTATGTTACTTGAAAAGACTTGCTTCCTTTTACTTGGCCCTTAAGGAAAAATTACTTGTTCCCAATCCAAGCACCTCGCACATGCTGCGTACGCAGAAGGGCTTTTGTAAACCCGATAAATAGCACCTTGATTAAAGATAAATTAAGTTGACAAGTACTGCATTAGCTTTTCACTATAACATTCTTGCACCTTTTCTTAAGCCTAATAAATCCAAGAACGACTTTTAAACCGAGAAGGCCTACCAAGGTGCTAATTAAATTCACTGCGCGATTAATCAGAATGACTTTCCGTTCTAAAATTAAACGATCGCTTTGAATATTTGATGCTTACAAGAACAGATGAGATCATATCAGGGGGACATTTTCTTTTGCTCTTTCAGAAAATCCCGGTTTCTGTTAAGACTGAAATCTTTTAACTAACGTATAACCGAAGGGCGGAGCCATTATCCTGATATGTTAAGTTGGTTATCAGCTTCAAATGACGCTTGCTTATGAAGTTCTCAACTGCATTACGTTTCCTCCACCTTTTCGTCACATTGGCATGGCTCGGAACAAACAGGAGCGCAGGTCTTCACAAACACCATGTAAAGCGACTACTAAACCAAGTTGTAGTTAATATTAAAGGACAACGAAGCAACCTTGTCATCGAAAACGACGTGGATAATTTAATTCATGGAACTAAACAGGAAAAAGGTCCCAAAGTCGACAGAGTGCAGAGTTGGAAGACCAACCAAAACAAACGCCACCTGCTGACAAACAATGCCGGTAATAAAATACCTTGCCAAGGACAGTTGTGCTTACAGAACACGACAGATGTTTCTCATGCCTTCACTATTAAAAGTAATTTGGGTAAAAAGCTTAGTCGCCATCGCAGAAGAGAGTCAGCTTTCTTGACCAAAGCACTTGACATGTTGGATCATGCAAAGCCACGCGAATCATGGAACTTTGCTACTCGCGCAACGGCCAATAAGCCATTTAAGCCAATAAGTTCTGTTACAGACACAAGTAAAGGAAGTATCAAAAATGCTACACTTGTTAACAAGCCTCTCAAAACCCAATCAGGAGAGAAAAGACAACAGTGGTCGGACACAAATGGTGATATGAGACCTCGGTTCTTTTTCAATAGTGCACCAGCAGAATATGTAGAACAGAAACCACCGTCTTTGCACAGAACTGAACACGCATCAATTCATTTAGGATCGCCTCAAACGTCCAGAGGGGGACCTCATGTCCCTGGACCTTTCCACAGGATGGCGAAATTGTCCCAAAGAGCCAATAATCGCTTTCATATGACGAGGCATCCGGACCATCTCTCTCCATTTCCTGTTACTCTCGTCGGCAATCCACTAACACACCACGTTTCCGCACCGCCACATTTCAATCATCATACACGTCCGCATCATTTTGGTCCACCTCCCTATGCTATTCATATCAATGCACCACCTAGAATAGAGCCGCCACCCTCACCTCTACCTGATTCTCCTTCCATTCCTCCAGATATTTTTACTGAGCCAATGCAGTCCTTAAATTCTCCACTAGGAATCGAAAATCGGCCTCCCGATGTCCCCGTAATGCCACCTCCTAACATTCCTTTTCAGACACCCCCTCCAATGAATGTACCGGATGGAGTAGAAACAATTCCTCCAGGCGTTCAAGTTATGCCGCCTGAAGGAATGCCAATACAATCCCCTCCTCCTAACATGGAAGGGATCGCTCCACCGGAAGACTTAACACCCATTGTACCCCCACACCCTCCCCTAGGAATAGAACCATCACTTTCACCTCCCCACATCCACACGATGCCTCCCCCATATCATCCAATGAATGCGCCAATCGGAGCAGAAAATGACTTCCACATGATGTCACCTGAAGGAATGCCCGTGTCTCCACCTATTAATCTGCAGGGGATGCCTCCGCCTGGGGCATTTATGTCACCCCAACATGAAGTTCAGCGAGTCCCGTTTCCTGTACCAGTTCCATTCCCACCTAAAGTGCAACATGTACCATATCCCGTTCCAGTACCAGGTCCACCATCTATTCAGCCTGTAATGGTTCCAGTGAGAGTACCGTCGCCACCTAAGATCCAGCAGGTGGCTGTCCCAGTGGAGTCTCCTCCAAAGATTCACAATGTTCCTGTTCCCGTCCCAGTGGCCGTTCCATCGCCCCCACAAGTTAAACATGTCCCCTATCCAGTCGCCTACCCCGTCAAGGAACCAGGAGAAATTCAAAAAATATTTTATCCAATAGCAGTTCCTCAACCATCGCACATTCACAACGTTCCATTTCCTGTTTATATCAGGTATCCCCCTGAGATAAGAAGAGTTCCCTATGCTGTACCTTCTCCTCCAAAGCCATATCCAGTACCTGTGCCTTCGCCACCGCATTTGGTGATTCATCGAGTTCCATATCCTGTAATGTTTCCCCAGAAAGTTCCCTACCCGATTCCAGTTGTTGTACAACATCACCACATCCACGACGAGGTGGCCATTGGGAGAGGTGAGAACAACTTTACGGTAACTACTGCAAGCAACAATATGTTTAAATGAGAAGGAACATGTGCTGTAGGCAGCAAATATGTCAGTGTGCTCCTTTATTCAGTTAAATAGAAAAGCCATATAAACGTCTTGCCACAACATGAAGGGATCATTAGCCATGTCTGTATATTCTGCATGTGATTCTGTGGAACTTCATTGACCTCAATTTAAAGCAAGTGTGTGGAGGAGTATATTGTTTTTTAGAAATGTGTAAAACAACAGGACTTGAATTTTCAGAGTCAAATTCAGATTCCTTTGAAGATCATTATCCCACTGATCAATACGATCTTAGGGAATACCACCTAGGTGGGTATCATGAGCACATCCGCGGGTGCATGAAAAGTAAAAGAGTCTAGTTTGCAGCTAAGCTTTATGGTGAAGGAAATAGGACAGTGTGTGCAAAGCTTTCACAGAAATATCAGTACAGTTTATATTCAGTTCATTAAATATGAGTTACTTCTTTTTATTTCATTTAGAGGCCATAAGTAATGGCCAGTGCTTGGTGAACCTTTGCCTCAATGGAGGAACATGCTCTGCTTATATGAGCACTTACCGGTGCCACTGTCCAAGTGGATTTCAAGGAAAACACTGTGAAGGTGATCGGATGATGGAATGAGTAAACTGCACTCAGCTATACAGTTTGTAGAAAATCGGTTAGATTCCATCCCCCCCCTCCCCAAAAAAAGACATGTATAAGCCTATACTTAATAAATTAATGAATAACAATAAGAATAAGAGATTCTCAATAGGCAGGCATTAAATAACACGTAAATAAATAACTTGGAGCACTGATACACCTGTAGCCTAAACAACAGAAGACACAAAACACAAGATAAACCCTCAAAACATGTCTAAAAAATATATAGAAAACAAAAACAAACAGTCGTTGTGTTCTTAAACAGTGTTGCTGTTGTCTCAACCAAAAAAAAAAAAAAAAAAAAAAATGAAATAAAATAAGATTAAAAAAAAAAAAAACATAGTAAGAAGAATCTTACAAACTTTGGGCTGGGTGGATTCCCTTTGCCCAGATAAAATAAAATGTCAAGTGTTTTGCAAGAACCGTGATAAAGAGGTTAACAGATGTGTTTAGTACGACTATGATTGGCGCGCAGAAGGGAGATGAGATTCGAAAAAATAAAAAGTCACAGAGGAATTCTCTTCTCTATAATGTTCAATATCGCTCCGCTTCAACTGACATCCAACATTTTTTGTAGAGCAAAACATGTGTAAGCCTAATCCTTGCAAAAACTTTGGAGTTTGTTCGCAAGTTGAGCATGACTACGAATGTACGTGCAGTAGAGGCTTTATTGGAAAGAACTGCGACAGTAAGTATAAGCAATAAAGTAGTGAAGTTTTGAGATTGGAAACAGTATACATTCATTGCTAGTTCGTTTCTTTAGAGTGAAACGATTTGTAACAAGGAACAAGGCAGCATATGCATTGCAATTCAATATCAAAAGAGTAAACGCCACAACGTCTTTCCTTTACAGAACCAGACCCTTGTGTCCCTTCTCCTTGTCAAAATGGAGCCACTTGTTCATCTGATGGGTCATCGTACTCATGTACGTGTAAAATGGGTTGGATGGGACTGAATTGCCAAGGTTAGTTTACGACAGTAATTCGATTACTAATAAATGTTCTCTGTTTATGCAACGCGTGTTGTTATTGCTCAATGGCCTGTATGGCATCAACAGTTCTAAAGGGGTACGCTGGTTAAAATGTAAAAGCAAAGACCAAAGGATTTCCTTATTGGAAACTATTTTGCAGTCAGAATGGTTTCTTTTGAAGAGGTCTTTGTTAAAACCGTCAACGGAGCTCTGATATTGTAGAAAGATTTTGATACTGAGGGGCTAACTACGGCAGGAGACTTCTTTTTGCATGATAAAGAGGATGTAAATTAAAGGTCTTACTTGATATGTGTAGTAAAAGGTAAGGTCTGCATACGAGCCAAGTGGCCCACCAGGCCGGAGCTTATCCCCGTTTCTGTAGCATGAAGCGACTAGGAGTATCTCTACTCCCTCCTGGATGGGATGCTTGTCCATCGCAGGGTTACCCCCCAGCATTAAATTCGCCGGTACCCATTTATCCACCTGGGTGGAGAGAGGCACTGTGAGAGTAAAGTGTCTTGTCCTAGAACGCAACACAGTGTCCCCGGCCAGGGCTCGAACCCGGACCGCTCGATCCTGAGACGAGCGCACTAACCATGAGGCCACCACGCCTCCAGCAAATGATATATGTAGTACACCCGAGTAATTGAAAAAGATGCTACTAAACAAACCGATCGCTCTTTTTTCTGTTTCTCTTAAGTTGAGTCTAAATGCCTTCCAATAAACCCGTGCCAAAATGGTGGAACGTGTACTGAGGCTCATGGAGCGTACCAGTGTGACTGCTCCCCTGGCTGGAGTGGATTAAGCTGTGAAGGTAAGATTGTGGTTGCTGTTGTTTTTTTTTTTCACTTTTATCGTCTCGACAATTTCAGTCAGAAGATGAAGGAAGGTAGTCACTTCAGGTCAAAGATAATGTGTTTCTGTTGGAATAACCCTTTTCATGATGAATGTTTCTCCTCTTTTCGGTACATACCTGTATTTTAATCTGTACTTAAATTTTTACGTCAGGTTGAGGAAAAATAAAACCTAGTGAGACAAGTTGTTTTGGTTGGCGTTATTGATTCCCAGATCAGGATTAAATAGTGTGTGGGAAAATGATAGAATCAATATACAGTTAATGTACAGAGTATTTCTTATAGAAGTTTCATTGCTTTTTAAAGTTAAATAATCATTAAATTACACCACTTGTTTTGTTTTCTAATTTATATAACACCAACTGAAATTCTCAGTCTTCAACCCATAGTTTCAATGTTAGCTTCGTTTAATTACTAAGCGGATCTTTTAGGGTGTAAAAGGCCCCTTACCCCCCCTCCCCCTTTGGGGACACTCCCATACGAAACGGTCGACGGGGAGGCTAGTCGGAAAATGTAGCCAATCTTGGCATGGCTCAAGCTTTATTTGGCCCCTAAAAGATACCATTTAAAACGAAATCGGCTCGATTACCAGCCGCTGTTTAGGAAGGGAGCCCGTGCTGGTAGACAGCAATCGAGAGAACGCAGAAACCCAGTCTAAAAACGGAAATAAGAGAGTTTCTTATTTTTACTTCTTAGAGTACACCCTAAAAGATACTTTGACATAGCGGTGTTTTGTCTTGAACAACCCATGTAAGACCAGAATCCCTGATTTATACAACTACGCGAGACGTCATCCATCCCCTCCTTTTAATGAAGTCCATCCCGGGTTTATAAGTTAATTTCGAGAGTTTCGGGTGCTTTTGTATGTGATTGGAAGACTTTGGGGTAATCCTAATTGAGGGTAGCGCTGAACAAAATCGTTAAATTAGTTGGATTTTGAACTTCAGATTTTCCATGTTTTTTTTTTTCTGTTTTTAAGCCCTGTACCGGGGAAAAGAAAACGTCAAATTTAACAAATCGATTTCTCTATTTAATATCTCGCCAAGTATTTTCGGCAGTGCAGTTTTCTATATTTCATTTTGAAAGGACATAAAAAATACTTTCAAGAAAAAAGACGTAGGTTGCCTTCCTGGAAAATAACAATTTTAATCAGAAGAATTTCGCAAAAAAGAAAAAACAAAAACCTGTTTTTCTTGATATATGAGTAAGTACATCCCGAAACCCGAATAGAAATCGCGAAAATCTGGAAATTAACTACGACGTTAGACAGAAAGTACGGGTTTCAGTCACCACTGCAACCACCATATATGCAAATTCGAGTCCGCAAGGAAACGCGTTACAAAACGAGGCTTTATCTAAACTACAGTTATTTAGCTGAACGCTTCGTAAGCTGACTCAAGACACATGATTCAATAAATAAGCGAGATTATAAACGCAAACTGGCGATCCGAAGAGTATTCTGTCGCATTTGAACAACATATCTTCACGTCGCGAACGAGTGTGAACGTTCGAGTACTTACAATTCTCGCCTTTTTTTCGATAATTCAGGAAATTACTCATAATTACTTAAAATACCTTATGATATCGTTTGCGATATTTTTTGGGGGGTCACTGGTGACACCATAACAACAGAGCATGACAGACTTGAGAAAAGTACTTAGCCTAGCTTAACGATCTATAAATAAAATATAAAATAATGACAACGATGAGTGAAAACTTTAGACCATATATGACTTTTTCCTTTATAGTTTCCGCTCCTGAAACTCTCCACCCAACAGGTATGCTAACCGCTTTTTTTGTTTTTGTTTTGTATTTGTTCGCTTTTTTGCATGTATTTGTGCTATTCGACCAATTTTATGAAAGTAATACATTATTATTATTTTTTTTTCTGAGATATGCAAAAGATATTTGACTCAGTGTACTCCTTAGCTTTTCTACCCATACGGATATATAATTGAAAACGGGGCCACTCTGTAAACAGCTGCAGATGCATGCATGTTCGGCATCTTCCTTAAATTCTGCAACAAATCCAAATTAATAAGGTGTTTCGGGATCAGAGTTTTCCGATGGATAAAAGGGGAAAACTATAACATAAGGAATGAAAATATTACGGATCACATCACTGAAGGACGTGGCAGGCCAAAGAGGCACTAAACGGATACGATTTGGATTTATGAATCAAGGATTTACTGAGCTGACAAGGACATAGACTCTGCGTACTGCGGACTCGTGGACCAATGAGTTTCTTCTCATAACTTTCGTTGAGAACGAAAACCTTCAATCTATGAATTGGAGGTGTTCTGTCCTCTGTCTGAGTTGATCATGACAACAGTTGAACCGACCTTTTAGAAATACAGCTACCTAGAATACTTATAGCTGATCGAGTTATGCTTAGGATTCTTCGAAGTTTCTAACTTGGCTTTTTGATCTTCAGTTCTCTGTGATAACTGCCACACGTCGGATCACTTTCTGGAGGAAAGAAATAAACTACGTCATAAACTGTCCAGCGTTAAGAAATGGAAAGTTGCAAAGGGATAACCAAAAGGTAAGTAACTGAAATGAATGAATGAATGCGTTATTTAACTTGGATATACGCTTAGCTTGAGAGCTAGTTTACAGGTATTCCACCTAATAACTAATGAGAACCTAACAACTAAACAACGCGATTATCACAATTCATCAGGTAATATTGAAATATTTATTCATATTTGCCCACTCGAGACAAATCACAACTGGCAACCACTAATACGTCCGAATTCAATAGGCCTTCTTTTTGCTAATGGCCGACAAGCCTATATCTGTTTGGCACACCCAGAAAGCCCCCCCCCCCCCCNAACAACAACAAAAAACAACAACAACAAAACAAAACAAAAAACAAAAACAAAAACAAAAACAAAAACAAAAAACAAAAAGGGAGGGAGGGGGAAAAACCATTAGGTGCGACAGAGAACAAACTTTTTCACCCTTCACTTTTCTCATTTGCATTACAATGTAATCTCAATTGGATGCAAGACAATCTGGGGCGGACAGTGTCTCACACACATGTTAGATTATGTTGCAATGCAAACGAGGGGAGTGTTTCTGTTTCAGATAATTATATTACTGGTGGAGCGCAAGAGTAAGATTCGTTTCAGTCTGACTAGCACGTACGTCCATGTCCATAATAGTCTTTCTTAACCAGACAAAAAAATCTATGCAGCCGGAACGACTCCATGGCAAAATTACGCCTCAGTATTATTGAGTTAATTCTTCTTGCAGATTACCAACGGCAATAGGGAGGCCTTAAAACCCTGTTACTATTTTTTAACTCATTCAACTTGACAGTTTCAGAACAGGATCCTGTGACATTGAAGATTGATGAGAGAAGCAAGCTTCTTGCTGGTTCAAGACCGTGTAGTTTTCATTAAAGATGACAATTTGCTAGATATGTTTCTTGCCGTTTCTAACGCGACCACAGCTTACTAAGAGGGCTAGCTTTAAAATCGATTTAGAAATAACATTATGTTTTTTTGGAACTTTAGGAAAACATTAGGCGTTTCTAAATCTCGCGTAATCAGCTGTAATGAATGGTCGTCTGAAGAACGGTATTTTACATGTATTCATCTAGTAATCTACCAATCAGAAGCCTTCTGTTATGTAAATATATAAAATGCATCACAAGTATGTTTCTTCATATTATTATATCTCTCAGTTAGTACGGGCGCTGTGATTGGTCAATTTAGCAGGCCGTATTCTCCTGTACGGCCCGCTTAAGATTGTTTTTTATTTGCCAAACTGTTGCTTGATTTTATCGTCAAGTGTTCTTAACTTTTATAGCAAGTAAAAGTTTAAAACTTTCTTTTACTGTAAATTGTTTATTAAAGTGTGCTTACGACTTAGAAACGATTTCAATTTGGCTCGTTTTGCTTTCGAGGCACGTCGTGTGAATAGAAATCGTTCCCGAACCCCGCAGGTTCACAGTAGAGATACAATAAATATCTTACTGACCTCGTCTTCTCGGTCCGTACTGTAAGCTACGGATCCTCGTTTTTTCCCGAATATAAATCGACGGGGAAAAAAACCTCGGTCCGTAACTTACAGTGCGGACCTCGAACTCGGTTAGTAAGAGGTATACATTTGTGAGCCTTCCCCACTCGCCTGCCTCGCTCTCTTCGCTCGCCTAATTCTTTATTTCGCGCTCATCCGCTCGCTTCGCACGCCGAATTTTTTTCGCCCTGGCCGGGAGCCTGTTCGTAGGCTATACCGCTGTAGGAGGCAACGTATATACAGTTTACGTCATAACGGTGTACGGGGTTTTATTCATGAGTTGTTTGTGTCAAAAACCCGAACGAGCGAGGTACGAGCGAGTGAGGGCTTTTGACACCGACAACAATGAGTGAATAAAACCCGGTCCAAAGCACTTTCTATGTCATGAGCTGTTTATTACACATAACAAGATAATATTTCATAAGCCCGGACAGGATCTCTTTCACTGCCAACGACAGCAAACATTTTTGGCTTTACAGTACAAGAGTCTTTTGGATCAGCGCCTGTTCGTGTCTTCGTCTGTCTTTCGTTATACTCTAGAAATGCTGTTCCGTCCGCTCTTTCTTTAGTCTTTCGGAACTCCTTTCCTTTCATGATGGTCGAGGAATAGTCTTTCTTTCTTACATAACGATCAAAGCTTGAAACAAAAGACCTGAACGATGTGGGCTGTTATTGTTCCCCGTCTTTCTTTCGAACTTGAAGTAGGAAATTGGCGATTAACAGGTTGAGATATTTTGCATCAATATTTTTAATATCTCTCAGATCGTTCCTTGAAACTAAAAATTTTTTGAGCAACGAGACATCTCTCTATGTTTTGCTTAATGTGTTCTTGTTTTCTTGATGCTGTACAAACTCGTCTAGGGAGCAAACAACCGACACAAATCCAGAGCTTTCCTCCGCCTTCGCCATTTTCGCAGGAAAAATTTGGAGGAAGCGCTGCTAAAAAGCCGCCAAATCTGGAAAACTATTTGAATGTAGACGATGCACGATTGTGATTGGCTCGGAAAGACCTTTACGCTATCGTTGATTGGTTATACTTCGACAAGTGAAAGAGCTGTATGCCATTCAGATTGGCTGTATGGGCTTTTTTCACATGTGAAAATAAAGCGTATAGATTTCTACAAACGAGCTTTATGGAATAAAATTCTCGTGTTATGTGTAATAAATGTAACGTAGGTGATTTAGAAGACGCAATTCTAGTTATACATTTGCCCTAAGCTTTAATTTGTTGCATGGACCAGTTTATAAGACACTTTCTCGAGCTGATTTGTCGCTCATTTTTTAATGGAGTATTTATAGGTAAACTTATTGATAATGAATTAGACACAAATGACCGTGTTTTGGTAAATCTATGGAGGGCTGTGATAACGCGATCCACGATATATTTCTAAGAAATAAATAATGGTAATTGAACTGAGTGGAGTGCAATTTGGTCTGAAATCATACGCGTGATTTCAAAATTTGAAATCGCAAGTATGATTTCAGACCAAAATTGCACGATCCGAAGTTCAATTGCCACTTTATTAAATCCATTTTGAAATAGCACAACTTTATCGCCTTAAATTTAGATTTTTGGTGTACTGTTTCAGTAGCCGGTTTGTTAAAAAAAGCGGAACCGGAAACGCCTTTACGTCTCATTTAGTATGCAAAACGACGTCATGTGACGAAAACTTATTCGAGCATGACAAAGAAACAAGCAGTTCTGAAGTCAGAACGAAAATAGTGTACTTCAGGGATAAAAGTTCAATTCTCGT